ACCCAAAAAGTCGTTCAAAACTCGAAACAGAGTGTGACGCACAATTAACTGAGCTTAGGTTGAAGAACATCATGAAGAGCGGGTGGGTACAAATATATTTTGAGCCTTTATCCTTTGTTTCTTAAACCGTGAACCAAGCCACGTTACAACCCTTTAAAAGTCCTAATTGAAGCATGGGTTAGTTCAAAAGCATACGGTTACAAAAGGTATCCTGACTCCTGTAAGGCTTTGCTCTAAAATCTTGTGTTGATTTGTCTTATGAAAAAGTTTTCTGCTAAAAAACGTATTTTTCAAAACTTCGAGACAAACATAACTTTGCATTGTTTGAATATCACTGTCTGCATTTGGCTTTTTGTTTGACAGCGAAGAATTTCATACAGCGAATGTTCGGAGGAACGAAAACTCTCTCAGTGAGTTAAAATCACTTCAAAAGGATGACACTTCCAACGACAAATCTCCTATCAACAAGGGGGATGACATGGCACTATCCAGTTAACCTGGGGCAGTCCAGTCAAGGTTTCAACAGATCTTTCAAAATTCAGTTAACCTGGGACAGTCCAGTCAAGATTTCAACAAAATCTCTCAATTGCCGATTAACTTGGGGCAAGTCTCCCTCACCATCAGCCGGGGCATTTGAATGTCAAAAATGTTCGACAATCCCTTCATCACCTGTTGAAAGATGCAGTTTTACACGGACTCATCATGAAGCAACCCTACACAGGTTCCTTCTCAACTCCCGATGCAGTTTTACACGGACTCACCATGAAGCTACCCTACACCGGTTCCTTCTCAAACTCAAAAGATTCTTGTAATCCCCAACCAGAGAGCCTTCCAGAAGCTAACTCCCCTCAAAGTCAAGTTTCAAAATCCCCAGTACAGTTCAAAAGTGGCCCCAGGATTTCTCACTTTCAACAATCAAAAGATCCTTGCCTCCCCAGCAGCAGCCAAGGAGTTACTTTCCCCGACGGCAATCAAAGGATTCTCCTATCCCCGGTGGAGTTCATCAAGTTCCCCAACTTAACTTATCAGTGGAATCCCCAGCAGAGTTCTCATCAAAACTTCAGCAAAGTACCTTTCCCCGCAGAATAATCTCTCAAACAAGTTTTTTCCCCAACGGATTCATCTTCTCCTACCGGTTTATTCTTGCAACCATCATCCCCAGCGGAAGCGAAGAACTCCACTCTTCAACATCAGCCCAGGATCTGATTCCCCAGCCGTTCGTCAAGGATTTATTTTCCTAGACGAAAATACACTCATAAACATTTCACATTTTATACATCCTGTTTACATACATGACAAAGTGCATACAACACTATCTCATTTTGAGCATCATGACATCATGCATCATGACATTGCATACAACTGATGTTACGCCTTTTTCAGGGAAAAGGACAATCCAAAAGATGATTACTATCAACTATCATATTTCCAGACTCGATTCCTGTATCTAGCCAGGGCACGTCTGAAGAGTTTGAAGATTCGATTCCTGTATCCAGCCAGGGCATATCTGTTGACGACTATTTCCAGACTCGATTCCTGTATCTAGCCAGGGCACGTCTGAATAGTTTGAAGATTCGATTCTTGTATCCAGCCAGGGCATATCTGTTGACGACTATTTCCAGACTCGATTCCTGTATCTAGCCAGGGCACGTCTGAAGAGTTTGAAGATTCGATTCTTGTATCCAGCCAGGGCATATCTGTTGACGACTATTTCCAGACTCGATTCCTATATCTAGCCAGGGCACGTCTGAAGAGTTTGAAGATTCGATTCCTGTATCCAGCCAGGGCATATCTGTTGACGACTATTTCCAGACTCGATTCATGTATCTAGCCAGGGCACGTCTGAAGAGTTTGAAGATTCGATTCCTGTATCCAGCCAGGGCATATCTGTTGACGACTATTTCCAGACTCGATTCCTGTATCTAGCCAGGGCACGTCTGAAGAGTTTGAAGATTCGATTCCTGTATCCAGCCAGGGCATATCTGTTGACGACTATTTCCAGACTCGATTCCTATATCTAGCCAGGGCACGTTTGAAGAGTTTGAAGATTCGATTCCTGTATCCAGCCAGGGCATATCTGTTGACGACTATTTCCAGACTCGATTCCTGTATCTAGCCAGGGCACGTCTGAAGAGTTTGAAGATTCGATTCCTGTATCCAGCCAGGGCATATCTGTTGACGACTATTTCCAGACTCGATTCCTGTATCTAGCCAGGGCACGTCTGAAGAGTTTGAAGATTCGATTCCTGTATCCAGCCAGGGCATATCTGTTGACGACTATTTCCAGACTCGATTCCTGTATCTAGCCAGGGCACGTCTGAAGAGTTTGAAGATTCGATTCCTGTATCCAGCCAGGGCATATCTGTTGACGACTATTTCCAGACTCGATTCATGTATCTAGCCAGGGCACGTCTGAAGAGTTTGAAGATTCGATTCCTGTATCCAGCCAGGGCATATCTGTTGACGACTATTTCCAGACTCAATTCCTGTATCTAGCCAGGGCACGTCTGAAGAGTTTGAAGATTCGATTCCTGTATCCAGCCAGGGCATATCTGTTGACGACTATTTCCAGACTCGATTCCTGTATCTAGCCAGGGCACGTCTGAAGAGTTTGAAGATTCGATTCCTGTATCCAGCCAGGGCATATATGTTGACGACTATTTCCAGACTCGATTCCTGTATCTAGCCAGGGCACGTCTGAAGAGTTTGAAGATTCGATTCCTGTATCCAGCCAGGGCATATCTGTTGACGACTATTTCCAGACTCGATTCCTGTATCCAGCCAGGGCACATCTGAAGAGTTTGAAGATTCGATTCCTGTATCCAGCCAGGGCATATCTGTTGACGACTATTTCCAGACTCGATTCCTGTATCCAGCCAGGGCACATCTGAAGAGTTTGAAGATTCGATTCCTGTATCCAGCCAGGGCATATCTGTTGACGACTATTTCCAGACTCGATTCCTGTATCCAGCCAGGGCACGTCTGAAGAGTTTGAAGATTCGATTCCTGTATCTAGCCAGGGCATATGTGTTGAAGACTATCACAATTCCAGATTCAATTCCTGTATCTAGCCAAGGCATATCTGTGAGCGTTTGATTGTAGATTCGATACCTGTATCCAGCCAGGGCATATCTGCATGAAGAGTTTGAAGATCAACTGGTAGCAAGCCAGGAAATTATCTTTCTTTCTCAAGTATGCGAGTTCTCGCTAAAGAACCTCTTATGCGATCGACATACAATTCCAAATGGCATCTATAAGCCCATCCTCCTACCAGCAGTCACCAGATGGCATCTATAAGCCCATCCTCCTACCAGCAGTCACCAGATGGCATCTTTAAGCCCATTCCCAAATGGCATCTTTAAGCCCATTCTCATATGGCATCTCTAAGCCCATTCCCCGACAAAATTCTATCGCACCAGATGGCATCTTTAAGCCCATCACCAAATGGCATCTTTAAGCCCATTCACCTCCACCATCTCTCCAAATGGCATCTATAAGCCCATTCCCAACATCACATTGCTGATACTTCAACATGCGAGTGCAAATTTCCGGGCATTCTTGTGTCCAATCTTCTTTTACCTTCAAGTCGCGAAAGGCAAACTTGCCAATCTAACTCTTCAGGTCCAAGAAGATTGAACAGGGGCAACTGTTGTACCCCAAAATTTGCCCTCGCATTTTTCCCCAAGCAATCTCAGCTTCAAGCCTTCCCTGATTTTTCAAACTGGCTCAAGAATCGGACAAACGGACTTTTCTTGTCAGTCAAGCGAAATTAGGGTTTTTACTGATTTTCAGGACTCTGGATTGTTTCACAGTTGGCTCAGAGTTTTGATTGATTTTGGCTCAATTTTGATCAGGCGAGCGTTATCTGGCATTTAATCAAGAATTAAGGTTTTATGGGCATATTCTCAGAAGGATTTAAATTCCACAGCACTTTGCAGTTTATTCCGGGATTCGGGTTAAATTTGCGTGGTTTTGGTTTAATCAGTAAAAAGGGGACAGTTGGTTTGAATGCACGTTGTTTTGTTTAAGCCCGTCAAAAGAAATGTGCAGTTTGGAATTACAGTGCTTGGCAAAGAATCAGTGAAAAAAGGAATGCGCTTGATCAGTTTATTTTGGTTAACTGCTGCTTTGTTTTGGATATTGGAAAAGACAGGTTTAATTGATCAATTACTAAGACATTGTTTTATTTAAATTATTTATTATTCTAAATTAAGTGATTGAAATTTATTTTTCAATTATTTTAATTCAAAGAGTTTTAAATAAATAAATAAACAATAAAGAAAGAGAATTGGAATTAATTGGGTAATAAAGATTTTATTGATATTTGGATTATTTGTACAAATGTTGTTTATAATTTAAATTACAAACAATAGTTTACATTAATTTAAATATTAAATAAAAAGAAAACTATCCTATTTATTTCTAATTCTTCATTCTTCACTCCGTTCCGGTGCTCCATTATTCATCTGCAAAAAAAGAAAAGAGAAAGTCAGAAAGCAGTTAAATTGGAAAAGACAGTTAAAATTAGACTCATCATTAACGGCCACTGACTGGGATCAGTTAACCCTCTCTGCAAATCACGGGATTTTTCCCGGTTCACAGAGAGGGAGGAATTTTTATGCAAAGTTGAAAAAATGCAAATGTCAAAATGCATAGAATATCAAACTGCATAGTTTCAAAATCTCAAACTTCAAATTCAAACCAAACTGGAAAAATCAAATAAAAGTACAGTTTGCTGTCACAAATGCCAAAGTCCACTCAAAGATATCAAAGAAGATAAAAAAGGTGCAATTTACTGTCAAAATACAAAGTCTACTCAAAAGCTGTCAAGAGAAGAGTTTGAAAGATATACAAAAGAGAACTCAGTTCAGCAGAGAGAAAGATAGATACAAAACTCAGAAAGCCTGAAGCCTCACATTACTGTCCAGTTCAAACCAAAAACAACCCAATATCCTGTAAAACACCTCAAAAGCCATTACAAGCACATAACATAAACTTACTGTCATAACCTAAACATGCTGAACCTGTCACAAAGCAAAGAAGACTCATAACCTGCTCAAGTTCATACACAACCCTGCCTCAACATAAAAACCTGTCACAAACATATAACCTACAAGCTGTAACCATATATCAAACCTCATCAACCTGCATTAAGCCAGAACCTGTTAAGCCTCAACATAACAATCTGCCTGAACCACAGTATAACCTCTAGCATCAAAAACCCTCAAGAAGTAAAACCTGCTGAAGCCTAACCTTAAACCAGAAACACCACCTACTGTCAAAACCTCATAGCCTGTACAAAAACCATAACCAACATAACCCCTCAAGCATATCCAAACATAACCCCTCAAGCATATCCAAGCATTCAAACCAACTCCTAAGCCTCAGAATCCCTTCATCATAGGCAGTAAATATTCAAGGCAAACTCAACGAAAATGCTAGGCAACTGTAAGAGAAGATACAGAAGCAAGCAATTGACATATATCAAGCAAGCATTCAGAACCAACCCAAGGCCCTCAGACCTCTGAGATCATCACAGGGCAACATAAACAAGCGTACAGTGGCAAAAAGGGACAGAAGAAGAAGAGGAAAGAAGGATATAACAGGTTTTCAGGCGAATACAAATCATCATAAAACCTAACCAGGGTCACCAAGAGGCGAAGTTTCGTCACGTTCCTCTCGCCGTCCCGGCCTCCTGAGCGCCACGTCCCCTTTTCTCTCCTCCTTCTCCAAGGTCAGGTAGTACATCCTTCTCCCTCTCTTTTTCTCCGTTAGCTCATAACAATAAAAGAATCAAGGTTTTAGTTCAAATCAAAAACACGTACAATTCATAAAAGAAAAAGGAAACACAAACATTAAAATCGAACCTTGAATCACAAGTCCACTGAGCTATGGAGGGAAGAGAGACTTTGGGGGTGACACTGGTGGCCGGATGGAGGAAGTGCTCAGGAAGATGAAGATGAAAACGACGATGAACGAACACGAACGGCGCCGTCCCAAACCCTATGCGTTACCAAACTGAACAACCGAATCCCTAACCCTAAAAATGTTGTTTCAAAACCATGGGCCTGACCCGTTGTAAATTCTCTGAAGCCCATTAGAATGCTTCTTTTCTTTTCCTTTCCAAACAAAAATATTAATAACTCTTTATTTTACAAACAATATATTTATTTTCTAACTAAATGTAGTTTTAATAAAAATACATTCTTAATTAGTATATATCACTTAGTAAAAAATACATCTTTTCTTTAAGCATAATTAAATACTTTTCTATATACATAATTAATTTGAAAACCTTTTAATACATACTGAAATATTTGTACATATCATACCTTTTTTATCATATAATTAAAATTGAAAACATTTTTAATTTAAATATATTTTTGTATATAATAAACAATGATACATCTTATACATTTTTCAATTAGAACTTGAACATACGATTTAATTAAAACATCTTCTTTTGTACATATTAAAAATATATAAATCAAAGATTCCTTAAAACACATATTTAGGTCAAATACCCTAAACAACACTTCAATTTCACCTTTTCGCGCTTGTAAATATCCACATACACATATACTTGTACACTTACAATATATTTCACATTATACACTTACACCATGCAAATCCATTCACATTGCCCTATACACATTTGCTTATCTTATATTTGTATATTCGATATTTATATTTGATTGCGAATTCGATTTGGTTGTAACTTATTTGATACTATAAGTCTCATCCCCATTCATACACTTGTACCCCCACTCCCGGATACTATTTTGTAATAGCGTAGATTTTACATTTCCGCAATTTACAGTTTTCCAATTATACCATGGTTAGACCTAGGGTTTGCATGTACATAAAATCAAACGCTAGATAACCTAATACAAGACAAATACATGTAATCAATACACAATCACACTTGCACCCCCTAGGGTAATCCCACATGTTGCCTTCCAAAATGGGCCATGCTTGCACGTCGAGTATCTTTGGCAAAACAAAATCAAATGATCATAAGTCTCAAAGTGTTGCCTAAACGGAATGATCATAGTCCCTTCAAAGCAAATTGCCAAAGACACTTGGCATCATTGCATTCATGGTTCATACGATGACCCGCGCCCGTCCCGAATAAACTTCCTAAACGCAAGATTGTCCATCAATTTCAATGGTGGAACAAAATTGTTAAAAGGGGTTAAAACATAACAAAAACCTTTGAGTACAATAGGGTAGACAAAACTCTTAGTTACTTGAGATCAACTTGCAAAAACACTTGCCTTCTTTTCAAAAAATCACAATCCACAACACTCTCAAACAAACTCTCAAAAACATTTGAAACATCTTTTCGAAAAGATACACACTTTTGTAAAACACTCAAACACGAGTCAAATACATTGGTCGCCTAAGACAAGGCATCTCTTCAAAAACATTTTCAAAAACACCCACACACACCACATTTTCAAGCAATCGAAAAACAAGGCAAGTGATCTAAAAAACCAAGTAACTAAGAGCCCATGGATAACCATGGATGAAAAGGGTGCTAACACCTTCCCTTTTCATAATCTACCCCCCGAACCCAAGAAAATATCTCAAAAGGTTTTTGCTGTGCTTTTTTAACCTTTCCTTTAGGATAAAATAAAAAGTCGGTGGCGACTCTTGCTCAACCGCACAAGTGCGAATACGAACGCAAAACACTAGTCAGTTCTCCCACCGTATCACAGTTATTCTCATGATGATAATGGTGTATACCACCCTTCGACCTGAAACCACTATGGACCCTAGATGTGGAGTCGAGTACTTTATTGTTGATCAAACGTCATCCGTAACTGGATAACTGAAAGACGGTTGATGGGTACTTCACAAAGCATGCTAAGGGACATGAGTGACCTAGATGGAATTTTCTCATCCTGCATAACAGGATACATGTCTAAGGGCCCAATATTGAACTGGACAAGGGTGTCACATTGTATGCCTTGTGTTCAATATAGACATGAGGGTAAAAGGGTAATTGTACAACACAAATATTATCACGGAAAAGGTTTGGTCAGATCACATGACATTTTCGTAACTTGGGTAACAGTGATGTGTTGCTAGATACCGCTCACTGTTTATTATATTAAATGTGTGATTTAATATAATTGCCAACATCGCGAAAACCTACAGGGTCACACACATAAGGACAGGTTGATGAGAGATAGAATAAATAAGGAACACCATAAGGTACGGTGCACTTAAGTGTAATACGGAAAATGGTAAGGTACCACGTGGATAAGTGATATATGGTACATCATAAGGTATGATGTCCATAAGCTTAATTGGGCTTTTAGCTTATAGCCTTAATTGGGTTTTTAGCTTGTAGCCCACACGAGTGATTCCATAAATATATCCCTTGTGATGAAGCAATTTCACTTGATGCATTTTCGTTTTTACTCTCTCTCTCTCTCACTCAAGGTTTCCTTTCATGATCAGCTAGCACTGTGACCGGAAGCGATATGTTCGTGTGGACTGAGTAGAGGCGTTGTTCTTCATCAATGCTCGTGATCACAACATCAAAGTTCTGAATCGCCACAAGAGGTAAATATTTCTATCACTGACCATGCTCATTCGTAAGGATCGCTAAAGGAAAATTTTAAATTCCGCTGCGCTTTTGGTCGCAATTTTCCTTCAGTGGTATCAGAGCCACTTACGAAACCATGGATCTGATAGTTGTTTATGTTCTATATTTTCTGTTTTGATTCGATTAAAACTAGAATGAATTGAATAATAAACGAGTAATTAAATTTGGCATCTATTGTGTACGATTTGGATGATTGATGTTGACTATGCTTCGGAATCCGACATTAGTATGGTGAAGCAGCGATACATCGATCGTCCATAGGTTACACAAATAAGATCGATCACTTTTATATATGATATAAATAAATCTGATGCAACGATGGTATATGGGATATACTATTTCTGTTTCGTTCATTCAAACACTTGATGATTGTTATTCCTTTGACCGATCACTGTTCATATGCTTCGGAATCCGACATTAGTATGGTGAAGCAATGGCATGTGATTAATCATATTGAATTATCAATCGAGATGTGTTTGACAGCATGAAACTGTTGCATTAGGGTTCATGACGGCACAAGGGTTGTGTTGTTGCAGAGTTATGCGATTAGGGTTGTGAATGCACAAGAGTTGTGCAAAAATGACGCCGGTTTCAAATGAATTGTTCATTAAAATTTTGCGCCGGGGCGCTGCCCCTCGCAACCCCACAAAGGGGCACTGCCCCCTTGACCCCCGTCCGCTGAACGGTCAGCGGAACCCCCGGCTAACTCTGCGTAGTGTGATCAATCGTCGAAATTTAATTTGCCTTTTTTTTTAATTAACAAAATTTAAACTAATAATAAAAGTGTGTTTATTATTATTGTCTTGTGGTGATCAGTTATGGCCTTAGTTTTTTCCTTTATTTTGTTTTGGGATTGTAAAATACGGCCTGCGTGTCGTGCCTCTCTCTAAAATTCTTGATGTAACTTCTTTTCTCATCTCACTCCCTCGTATGTAAAACGAGTTTCTTTTATGTAATGTAATGTTATGAAGAAAGAGAAGAATACAATATCAAATGAGGATAACCTTGGAGATCTTGCTTGGAGAAGTTTAGATCGTTATTAGGTTAGCTTAGGTTCTCTCATTGGCTTGGGAGAACAATTGCGTTAGGGGCCATGACTGTATCCTTTTATGTATATTGATGCATGTGTTTGTATGTTGATGCATGAGAGAGACGAATTGCATGTTAAGCCGGTGAGATCAAACTAATAACAAAATCCCTCAAGTTAAATATTAAGTTCATGCTTTCCAAGTTTTAGCACTCATCAAGACTAGTATCGAACAATGTAGGTTTCGCCTACGCGAGGTGCATGTTCTATATTAGTAAGGTGCGATGGGATAATTGTAATATCCAACTGCTAAAACAATGGGTCAAACTTAACTAAACACATTATAATAAGATTATACATGTTTAGAAGCAAGAGTTGGGAATGATTCATATGATGAATTAGAATAAGGAGTTATTCACCCAACTGAAAATATTCGAGAGTTGTATGAGATACAATTGGAAGGAGTTCCTACCTAAATAACCTAGTTTTGTGTAATCAGCCTAACGCTGACTTAGAACAAAGTGAAATGTGGATCTCGACCCACTAGAAAGCCTTCCAACGGGATTTTCCG